GGAACTGGGCTAAGGCACACCCAGTTAAGAAACAAAATGACCAGTTTAGTTTTGATATGTTAAGCCTAAGTGAGCTTGAGTAAAATTACCTAGCCATTCAAAAATACTTGAGGGTCACCATGTATGCATGCACTAAAGGCACTGTAGTGAAGCAGACACACTTAAGGACACTGGTGAAAAAAGCAGACATTCTTTCTGGTCATGTAGCATGTACATCGGTGACATGATTCCAGATAGTGAAGATACTTCTGAAGAAAACTGAAATAATGTGATTGGAGTGTGACTTTGGTGTGTGCAGGAGGGGATGCTAATCTAGACTGGAAGGGGAAAAGTGAGAGTGGGTGAAGGAAACACCTCTAGAAAGAGGAGCAAGACTTTCTAGAAGTGGCTCAAAGGATAGACATGAAAACAAATATATTTGTCTGCTGCTAGGAAATTAGCCTCTATTTTCATTGAGAATTAGCAGCCAAGGATATATGCATAGACTGTAAGGAAACAGACTGAAGAATGGGAGAGGTTTGGAATAGCTGTGCGGCAACATGGGTGTCGGGGAGAGGAAGATTTAGTGGACAACACCAGAAAGGAAAATGAAGATACTATGTGAATGATCCTGAGCACAGAGTTCATAGAGGTTTGGGATAGCCTGGGCCTCAGTTTCCTTAACTGCAAACTAAGAGCATTAAATCAGGCTTCATGGTTACAATAAGGCAAGAAGGAGTTAAGATGAAATCTCTGTGGCCTGAAACCTATCACTGTAGTCTTTAGGACCCAACGATAATTGGTTCTTTTCTATCATTAGTTATACTCTGGCCACTTGTCAGCTGGCATAATCATATTTCTTTAACAAAAATGTCTTTTTCATAGTTAAGGACTGTTTATAGGAAGGACAATTGGAGCTCATTAATTCAGTCATTAGGACACTGATTATGTATCAAGTGTCTACTATAGCCAACTACGTTAAATAAGTTCTTCAGTCTTCATCAGAGCAATTACACTAACATGCTTGAAACTGTCCAAGAGCATTCTACCTTCATCCACTTATCTTGCTTAACAGCAGCCTGGTCCAGTCAATATTTTCATACAGATAATTATAATTGAAGCATAAGGCCCCATTTTTGACACATGACTAACATATTATTCTCCTTCACAAAGAACTTTTAACAATTTGTATATTGTTCTTTTGGGGTTTAGGCATTGGCCCTTGCTTAGCTTTTTCCAAAATATGTAGATCTCTGAAGATATTTAACTGCCCTTGTAGGAATATTCAATACATTGGAACTATACTGTAATTTCCCAAGGATCATTTAAATAATTGGATTAGATATCAATCCAATATTCACTTGTGACTTTAAATACACAGATAAGAAATAATATAAAGATGCCTGGAGAAGAATGAGCAAAATAACTTGCTTTACTGTACTATTTTTCTCTCAACCAGAGCCAACTTGTCTTACAATCTCTAATTCTCAGAAATCCTATCTGCATGTCTCAATTTTTTGAGTGAGTTTGATCAAAGAACAAGGATATTCCATGATCAGCTAATAATTTTATGGTAGGTATATTACAGGTACCTAACGAACAGCTATTGAATTTAATGTTTTTCTTTTATGTTCCTTATGACTGTCTCTGGCATTTCCTATTAGATATTAAATACTTTCTGGCAAATCCTACCATGTCTACACTCTCTCTCCTATCTCTGTAGGAATGTGTAGACATCCTCAACATAAATTCATTTAAAGCATTAAGGTTCATAGCATTAATATACAAATTTAGCTGGTGCTGAATAAGTTTCAATAAAAGTACCCACATACAGTTGGTCTCTATACCATTTGCTTAGGTGATCACATTCAGTCAGAACCATTTCAGTTCCAAGTAGCTGTATCTTTCCTTTTGATGTTATAATGCTCACTTAGTCTCATCAGGATGTAGAGCATGGATCTTGACAAAACACAGCATTTGTACAGAGCAATGGTGGAGTGCAATGATGGTGTAAACGGTCCAGTGGAGACCAGTGACACATGTCATTTTCCTGTTACATAAACATTGTGTTTTACCATTTTTTTCTATTACTAGTATCTTGGTAAGGGTATGAGAAGACAATGGAGAAGAAGTTGTTCTTGACATTCAGGAATCTACAAATTAGATGTGGAAACAAAGTTAAGCACATATAAGCAGTTAAGAAAGTGCCCAGCACTCTATGAATCAAAACATGATTCCAGGTAAAGTCACGGTAGATGTATGAGTCTAATAAACAGAAAGAAAACTCATAGGTGATATAACTTTGGTTTGGAGGCACTAAGAAAGGATATAGATTTATCAGAGAGGGGAATATGGGGGTCTCTTGAAAACACATAGGGATGTCTTTTAAAAATCAAACCATACAAGTAATACTTGAAGTTTTTTTTACTCAATAACTCTTAGGCTTCTTCCAGTAGTCACCATTTTTTATGCTTTTTGACTGAGTTTTATGTTTTTAACTACCTTTAAAATGCCTTTTGAATTGATTTAGGCTTGATTTTGTAGTGGCATGGGTAATAAAGGGTTAAACTTGCTGTCCATTCATACAAAAATCAGATTCACTCAATACAATTTATACAATAGGGACCTACTGATAGATCTTCAGGTACCCTAGTGGATTGCGAAGCTGATTGTTGCCATGGCAATCCCTGCTCTATGTGCCTTCAGCTTCTGTCTTGACCCACTTTGGTTTAGATGCATTTCTAGCTGAAGGGATGGTAGGCATGCTCCCAATTTCTATGCCCCTTGGAGTCTGGGCTAGTAGGGAGACTCCCCTTTCCTCTTTCTTCAGTCTTCTAGATCCTCTAGATCTTGGAAAACTCTCATAAATGGAGTTATAAACTCAAAGTTTGACACTTTAGAGATGGTTTAACTCCACTACAAGATTCTTCTAGAATCTATCCAGCCCTGGGTCCCCTCCCCATATCCTCCTACTCATGTGGACATTAAAATCAATACATCACACAAAATTTTTTGAATGATTCAAGATGACTTTTAATAGGGCATTTCATATTAAAAGGTGTTGATTTGCATCAGTACAAAGGACTGAAAGCTGGAATCAGCCTTCTTACTTACAAATTGGACATCATTTGCTGTTGACTATATTCTCAAGAGGCTCTGGAAGGTTGAGATGGGAGCCGCAGGTGGCACAGTTCCTCCTGGGGTGCCCTTCAAACATTTTTCTTTTGGCGATGCTGGGAGTTAAAACCTAGTGAAGGTGCTTGTGCTCTAACACTGAGCTACATTCTCAGCCCACAAACTATTAAAAAGGGGGTTTTGTGGCCTGCCTCATAAGAAACCATCCGGGAAAGCTGCTTTGCTAGTGAGGTTAATTTTAATCTCCCTGTAATCTGCGATGAGGAATGCGAACATGGCAGCCAGCCAAGAGAACTGTTCTATTGTCTTTCCAACCAGTAACCTGAAAAAGACCTTTATTTTCAGTTTGAGATTTATCATGTTCCCTGTCTAACAAATTAGGAGCCTAATACTAGATGTGATTATTTGAGTTTGATCCTCCAGCAGCAGGGACTGAGTTAAAATCAGTGAACGCACTTACACCCCCAGTACAGTCTTAAGTTTTGGTAACTGCGTCTCCCAGTAGGTAAAGGTGCAAAGCCTAGGCATCTCTGAGCAGGGGAGGAAAAAATGGGCAATGGAAGACAAGCCAGCAAATTAAGAGGCACACTGCCAGGTGCTCACACTTCACAACGAGCATTCTTAACATACATTATTAATACTTTCAATTTAGAGGAAACCAAGATTAAGGTTGGAGAAAAACACACTCAGCAACTCCCCTCCCCTCTCCTCCCCCTAACCCTACACCCCAGCTCCCGGGTTTTCACAGCCCGGTCCCGCCCCCCTTCCTTCTCCCTCCTCCTCCTCCCTCTCCCCCTCCCGGTCCATCATCACGAGGGCACGCCTACTCATTTGCATACGGGCGCGCCCATCTGTGGCCGGCACCCAGGCTTCTCCCGAGCTCTGCTGGTCCCGGGCCGGTACAGACCGGCCCCGGGGCGGGCCCAGGTCCGAGCACGTGTCCACTCCAGGCTTCACGACGGAAGGTGGGCGAAGTTCGGGCGCGGAACCTCCACGGCCCCACCCAATGGCGCCCGTGGGGGTCGGAGCGGGTGGTTTCCAGCGCGCTTTCCGCGCGTGGCGGGCGGCGATGACTTCGCCGTTCTCCACAGGCCCAGTAGGAGACGAACTGGAGCGAAACCGCAGGCGTCCCAACCCACCCGGCCGCGCCTCGCCTCACGCTCGACGGGGGAGGCGGGACCAATCAGCGAGCGACGTCTCCCTTCCGATTCGAGGCCCCCGACGCGCGGCTCACACCCCGCGCTCCCCGCGCGCTGATTGGCTGCGCGCGCCGCCGGTCCAGCTGGGAGGTGGGGCTGGCCGCAGGCTTGGCGAAGTGGGGAGGAGGCGGCCGGCGGCGCCTGAGATAGCCCGCGACCCGCTCGGCCCCCGGCCCTGCCCGCGGCTCTCGGCCTCCTTCCATCCTTCCTCCACTAGCTCCGTCTTCCGTGCACGCCCCGCGCGGCGCTCGGCCGGCGTGCCTCGCGCCCTAACGGGCGGCCGGGGGCGCCAATCAGCGGGCGGCAGGGTGCCAGCCCCGGGGCTGCGCCGGCGAA